AGTCACGGATTGATTTGGGTGCCGGTTCATTAACCACATATAAAACGAATTCTATATTAAGGAGTTTAAAAGATTTAAAAAACGGAAGACGATTGAAATTTTCTAATAAGGTACATTTAAGGTTATCAAAAAATCAAATATTTTTGTGTTATTTTCAAAAAATTGTCGATTTAGACGTGTAGAGCTGATAGTGGCTAAACAGCAAACCTACGATTCTATATTTAAATTTCGATATAAGTTATATCAAATAATGAATATTATGAAAAAAAAACTGGTCAGTTCACTAATAAGTAATACAGAATAATAGAATTAAATGAATTATTCAGAACCATAAAATACAAAAACCATAATAAGACACAATGTCATACGTAAAAACAAAGACGAAAATTAATTAATTAGAATAGAATATAAAATATTATAAAAAAAAAATATTAAATATTTAAAAAGAAAAAAAACTACAAAAGTTCATGTGGCAGCGGTGGGATTCGAACCCACGCCCTTTCGGACTGGTGCCTAAAACCAGCGCCTTAGACCACTCGGCCACGCTACCGGCATGACAGCGTGTGCGAAACTCTGTTATTTAACATAATTGATATTGATATTTCTTATTCTATAATAAATAATATTGTATAAATAAAAGATCTCGTCAGGATTAAATAAAATTCTTATTAATTAACCAATAAACACAAATTATTATCTTACATAACTGCCGATATTCTCTTAAACATTTTTTTAAGGAATAAGGCAGCATATATTTTTTTCAACTCTTTTAGTAAAGGTTGTCAATGATGTTAGAGCATTATTTATTTTGTTTTTCTTTTGGTTAACACATAAAATAGACAAAACGTATGAACACGCAATCATTTATTCTACACTTCTGATTAATCTAAAAGTTACCAAATGAGGATTTGTGGGTATAACATGTCATATAAGTCATTAACTTGTCAAAATATTGCTATAAAACAAATTTAATATTTATTTAAATGTGCAATTTTTTTTTTTTTTTTGTTGATATAAATTCAAATAATGATAAAACATTATCCAATATATCAAAATCTCAAAAGTATTATCTTTCACGATTTTTTTAATAGATAATTTTACTCAAAGATTAATTAAAAAAAAAAATTTTACAAGAAAAAGGACATAGGTCTGAGAGAAAACTAATACCATGCTAATATCCTATTCCTATTTTCAACATTAAAATCATTTTTTCAAATGCAAAACTTTAGTCTCATGGTTATCAACTAATTCAATAAAAATAATACAACTTTTTATCTAGAGGGTTCGAGGAAACTTATCTCACATTACCAAAAATGTATGCTGAAGTGATTATGTGGAAATAATTAAAAGCATACAGCAAATAAATACAATGTTTTATTTTTTCTAGTATAGAAAAACAAGCCTTTTTGAAGATATTATTCTTACAACTACTAAACAATTAAAAAAATTTGACAATTTTTATCAAGATTTGACACAAAAATTACTGTGATATGAGTAAACACTAAATTTTAAATAATCCAAATTTAAAATACGGAAATTAGACAAAAATACATACTATATATTTTTTATCGTGAATTTCAGGTTTCAATAAATCATTAAAATAAATAAAGGTGACTTATTTAAATTTTAAACCCAATTATTTATTTTTGTATAGCCAATACAATAAAACACAAGGATTTATCAAAGCAAAAATATAAGTAAATAGTATCATATAATATTACAATGAATAATATTTAGATTCAATTTTAGATTTAAAATAGGTTAATATTTTATTTAAAATGTATTTTTATTTGGGGGATTATAACAAGGTTTTAAACTTTTTAATATTTAAAAGATGTTTTATTTTTATTTTTTCAAATACAAACTGAATTATTATTTTTATTATTATTATATTATTAGATCAAAACATAAAGAACCTATAGGTTAGGTTATATAAATATAGGTACATAAAATAAGCACCTATTAATAAACAATATTATTACATAGTATTTATCATATTTTATTGAATATGAATTATAATGGGTATTAAATGTATATTAAAGTGTAATTTATGATATCATTAAAAATTCTTTGAAAATAAAATTATAACAAAATAATCTAATAAAGATAAATTTTTAAATCTATAACAATGTTGTTTTAGATTTACTGCTTATAAAAAAATTATTATAATTTAGTCATTTAAAGATAAAAATAAATATTCCATAGAACTTTTACAATAAAATAAATATATATTTTTATAAATAAACAGACAGTTATTCTTTAACTATAATATTATAATAATTATTAACTATTTTAAGTGCATTGTTTAATATTTTATTTTGTGCTGCTATCTATTGGTGATTTTTAAAAAATGTATAGCCAATAGGCAATATAAATTGAATCACATCTTTAATTTTACAATGTTAAATTTTTCTTATAATTAAATCATTCCTGAACTTGAACGACTAAAAATTATTCTTACAAATAATTAACAAACAATAATACATAATTGTATTAAAGAAAAAAAAACAACTATGAAATAAAATTTAATTTAGTGTGCTATTTTAAATTCAAAATTATAGGAATGTAATTTAAAAATGAATTAAATGGAGTTAAAATATAAAAACACTTATCAGGTAGTAATACGAATCAAAATTTAAAAAAAAATAGTTTGAAATTCTGAAATTGTCTTAACTTAACAACATTTCTATATTCCAAACAATTAAATGATTGTCCTAATATTTCATGAACAAATTAACAATTCAATATATTACTATTGGCAATAACAGGCAACAACTACAATGCAATTAATAAACATATAGTAACCAGTGTTTGGAAATAGCCCAAAAGTGTCTTCACAATCATATTTTTATGAAACAGTTTTAACATTGTTCTAATTAAATTCCTTTTTATTGCATTGAAAAATGCATGATATTAAAATTATATAATAATTAAAAATTCTTTGAAATATTTATACTTAATATTTAAAATTATGTTATTAAGCAGTTTAATGCTAACAACAAATTAATTAAAATATAAATAAAGATAATAATACATTTATTAAAATTTAAAAATAAATAAAAAGTCATGTATTTATGAATATAATTTTTGTTTTCTAGTGCTTAGCTACTTTCATGCATTCATAATCATATTATAATTTATAAATCATATTGATAATAAATTAGATTTTTTATTATTTATAATAGTTAAATGGATTGATAACTATTATAAGGGAACAAATTTTACTTAACACCAAAGTACAAGAATTGATATTAGAAAATTTATTATGCATTTGGAATACTAGGCATAATTATGGTAATCCAATACAAAAACCAAAAGGTATTTTAGCCACATTTAAGAATCTAATTCAATAGAAAAACAAGTTCTACATTTCATACCCAAATGAAAAAGCCCTGAATAACAATGGTTTTAATAAAACTGTGAAATATTTAAGAACATAATAAGTAAATAAAATAAAATTTAAGGATACGTGGAATTAAATTTTTCACTATTAAATGGTTGTATGTATGTCAGATTAATTTTTTTTAATATTATTAAGTAATTAATAAAATTAAAAATAATATTTTCTAAAACTGTTATTTACGCAAACATGAATATCCATGAGCATATCCATACATTTAAGTCAGTATTTTTAACTCACAGTAAATAGTAGATATAAAATCAAAATTTCATATTTCAAATATATATAAGAATGTGGCATCATTTTAAAATTTTAAATACATAATGAGAAAGAGGGTTTCATTTTTAACTAAATTTTAAAGTCTTCAATACCAAATATTGGGTTAGGCTGGACAAATAGCATCACCTCATACAGAAAGTAATTTCAATACTCTCAATATATGCAGTTTTTAAATTTTAAATTATATTGGCTATTGAAGGCTTAAATATAAAAATCCTTTTACTGAAAATATCACAAAAAGTCACACAATTAAATAGGAATGTCTGATCACTGAAGTCACATCCATTGTTTCTTTAACCTATATTATACAAATATTACTTATCATTTTACATTTTTTAAGAAAATTTATGTACAATGTTGAACTATAACACAATATAAATTGATTAGCTTATAAAATGATACTTTCATACATGTACATTTAGTCTAAATTGTAATATTATTGAATTTATAATAAAATTTAACAATTAGTTAAGAGAATATCAGCCTACAACTTGTTTACTCTTTCTGATGCATACCCAACATAACAAATTTGTGTTAAATAGAAAAAATTTTGACCTGTTAAATTTCATAGTAAATTAAATAGCTATAATCAAACTATAAGTTAAAAAATAAATACTATCTGTCGTGATTTATAATAATGAATACATTTTCCATAAACTGTAAATAATATTAATAACTCTTATATTTAACAACTTAAAGTAACATAAAAATTAATACAACTCAGTCTGTAATCATTTAAAAAAGCCACTTTTAAATGTTTTTAAACTAGGTGGTTGTATATTGCCTCCTTGTTCGAAGGTAGTATAATTTTTAGGAATGTGCCAATTTCACATTTTCCTGATATAAAACTAATAACCAATGCATACAAAAATAACATTTTCAATAAACTAATAAATTATAAATTAAAGAATGAACATACAGAAACGTTCAAAATAAATCTAATCTAGATTAATACCTCCAACATTGATCCCTAATTATTTTTACAACAAATTTCAAAAACAGATCTCTAGTAGTAAAAACATCTAAAACCGTCAATATGGAAATAAATACTCAATAGTCTCTACAGAATCAATTCAACAAAACAGATATATGATGAGGGCAGAAGAATGACCTATATTATAAAAAGTAAAAACCATTTACTATTTTTGAATCAGTCAAATATTGTATCCAACTAGTATAACATGAAATATTTTACTACTGAACTAAAAAAATTAAAATTAATTTTTACTTACTTTTATAATATTATAACATTACTTTTTAATATTAAAGATTAAACCTAATAGATCACAATTAATAATGCTAATAAAATATATTATCTTACCTTGTAAGCTATCTAAGAGATACATAAGCAATCTATGTGTACCATTTGGTTCACTATACAACTTCATTACTTCTTGGCACAGAGGATTACCAGCTAGACCTAATACTTGCAGTTGGAATAAACGCCCTAACTCATGAGGCAGTGATCTTAACATATTATAACCCAAATGTAATTCTCTGAAATAAAATATAATGTTTAATATACATAATAAAATTATAAAAATTAAATCTTTAAAAATATTCATAAATGTTTTACCTGAGATAAACTAATTCACCAAGTTCAGCAGGTAAACTACGTAATTTATTTCCAGACAAATCCAGATACTGTAAATTAACAAGCATTGAAATATCTGGGGGTAAACGTGTTAATTGATTGTCGTTTAAGTAAAGTCCTGTTAATGTTGTCAAATTCCATAACGAAGGACTTATGTTTTTTACACAACCTAAGATTTTCACACAACACAAAAATATTAGAACTATTTATTTAAAAACATACAAACAATATGAAATACCAATAATTTCCAATTCTTCCCAATGAGTTTCTTTCCCCTGTTTCACCTCTTCAGCAGTTAACATATGATATTGACGTAAAGGCCTGCCATTACTATTATACTGTTCAGCTTTTTCTCGAGCTAAACGTTTTTTATCATTTAGCGACATATGAGTTCTTAACACAATTAAAAATAAATTAAACAAGCTATAACACAATTACTAAATATAAAATATGAATAAATTTATTTACTTTTTCTTTCTATCTTTAAATGGAGAACATTCTTCGGTTGAATCGTTCATTGAATCAACTACAAAAATCTGTTGGTTGTAAAAAAATATTTATAATCAATAAGACACAGATAAATCCATCTTTTGAAATTTAAACAATTTTTTATCACAATATGGTAATTAAGGAGTATACAAATATATACATAATGTAGGTGACACAACTATTGTTTTATGGAAAATATTATATGATTCAAGTATTTTCTTAAGAATAAACACTTTTTTTCAAAAACATTTTTCATTTTCATTTTGATGAAATATTCCAAAACCAAAAATAATTTTTTACATTCCATCTCATTAGAGCCACTTGTTAATAAGTCTTTGTTATATAAAAATCATATCGTTTTACCTGCTACTTTTATTAACCAAATCCAACTGTTGTTGCAAATGTCTGACAGGTGTCCTAACGATTAATGCGACGAGTAGAAAGGGAAGCGGCTATGGTAATGACTAATCTACAAAAAAATCATTCACAACACAGAGTTTAAAAAATAGACAAAGCTAAAATTCATCAGACACTAGACAGCAGCAGCAATATAGCTCTAAGTAAACGAAAAACAAAACATGATACAAGACAATATCAGTGTGACCAGTAATAATAATTGCTTAGATTCGGTTGTTCGTTGATGTCGGTGATAATATGTTACCGATATTTCTATTGGTGAGGTTATGTTCTTACTTCTTAATAGAAATAATATTTTTTGATAACAATAATTCACAATTCAAGTAATTCAACGTTTTGCTTTTGACTCTTCATTTTTTTTTTTTACAATAAATGTATTTATGGACCTTACTTCTTAATTTAATAAATAATAATTAATAATTTCAAATTACTTAGTAATTTCTTGCTGAAAAATCTTTAAAGTTTTTGAATAAAGATTTTATTAAAACAAAATCATTGTATGATGATTTTAGTCCTTACAAATTTGTCATTGAAAAATAAAATAAAAAAATTCAATTTGTTGTAATTTACCTATTTTTTAAATCAGTAATTTGCTACGTACTACTGTCAAATCTTAAAAAAAGTTTTTGAAAATTAAAGACAACGATAAAATGTTTAGTAAGTGTTGAACAAGTAAAAATATTTTTTATTTTACATTTTCAATATATTTTATGTTTAGACTTTAGTAACCTGTTTCGCTCACTACCAACAGTTTCTTCTATATTGCCAGTTCGATATCGTGCACGTAAATGTACCAGAGAGCGAAAAGCAAAAATTAACAAAAAAAATAGAGCTGCTAATTTAGCCAAAGCAAGAAAATATATACCTATATTAAAGAAAAAGTAGGTTGTTAACCTTGTTCAAATAAGTATTAAAATTTTAAAGATCTACATTAATATAATATTAGTTATGACACTATCTATCATAAAATTTAAATTAAAATATAGTTAAATATCAGTTGATTTTTAATATTTTATTTAAAATGTTCATACTTCCTAAAGTAAATTAATATTGTGAAAAAAATGCAGTTAATGTATATTATATTTTCTTTAATATCTTTGTTTTTATTTTTTTTAACAGATTTGTATTTATTATTAATTGGTTGTTACCAACACATTTTAATATTTTTGATTTTCAAATAATGTACTATAATCGGTTTAAAGATTATCAATTAATGGATGCAACATTTAACTTGGCCTATATTTTTTTTAAATAAATATTAATATTTATTTTTTTAATATTGTGAAGTATCCTAAGTATCTCATAAAATATTAATAGCCACTTAAATTAATAAAGTTTTCTATTTAAATAATAGAAAATGGTGATATATAATATTTAGTATCAAAATCAATGTTCAATATTTTTTTTTTCTATGTTATTAAAGTATTCTTATAAAGATATAACTGTTTATAGGCAGTTAGATAAATCAAGTCGTACAATTGAAACATTTCCTTGGCGTTCATCCAATGATGATGTCTATCTGGGATTATTTTACCAAATGCGCAAGTCAGTTATGATGAATTTTACATTATTTATATTTACTTATTCTATCATTTTTAACCTCAATTTTATTTAATGATACAGGTATAACTTGTTAGAAGCTATATTATCTCATCGTGAACTTCACCATCCAACAATGATCAATATGCCAAATTCACCTCTTAATGTTCGTTTTGAAATAGACTTAACAACAGATAAAAAAAATAAATTTGTGGATAAATATCATAAAATACTTGAATTACCTCATCCATATGACCATGGAGAAGATAGAACAATATTAGCGTTTTGTCAAAGTACTGAAATGATGGAAGAAGCTAGAAATGCTGGCGCAATGCTAGTTGGTGGAAAAGACGTTATTAAAAGTATAGAGGTATATCATTTTTGTTATTTATAGCATTTTATACATTTTATTGGTATATTATACCAATAAATTTATGACAATGATAATTATTAATATCGTTATAATATAATATTACATTGAAATAACTTAATATTGGTATATTATATTGATAAACTATTAACTATAGTAATTAAAAAATTTTAAATTGAATTTCTTAAAGGTGTTATGATTATAATATATTTTTCAGAGAGGTCTTATAATGTTACCGGATTTTCAATACGTACTTGCTCATCCTGATATTTTAACAGAATTACCTGCCATCCGTGGATTATTAAGGAAACGTTATCCAAGTCTTCAACATGGTTTGTTATTCAATTGTAAAGAATCTTTAGCAAAATTTAATGAAAACAATTTTATTTATAGGTACACTAACATTAGATTTAGTAGCCATGGTAAAGCATTACATAAAGGGTATTAAGTATAATATGCAAGTGGATCCTTATGATGAATCTTTAGGAATTGTAGAAATGAAAATTGGACAGGTAAATAAATAACAATTTATATTTGCTATCAACAGTAATACTAAATATTATGCATTTTTTGTTTTAGCTTACAGACGAACCGAAACATCTAATTGAAAATTTTGAAACCTTATTTAAGGATATTATGACCAAAGCTCCAAAAAGAGCCAAACAATCTCAATTTATTATACGGTAATTAATATTGAGATTTTGAAATAAAAACTCAACTTATATTATTTTTTTTATCAATTACCTTTATATAAAAAATATATTCATGTATTATTTTAATTATCAGGTATTTAATTATTATAAAATATAATGATAGTCATATAAATTATGTTAATAATATAAATTCATATTTATTCTTTTATTATATAGTAATGCAACAATCTATATATATAAAAAAAAAAAAAAAGATGTATTTCATTATACATTCTTATTCATAATATTTACTTCCAGCTCTAAAAAAAAGTCCCATTGTCTCTTTATTTGATTTAATTATAAATTAAATTGTACTAATTATGTTTTTCATTTAGGATAATAAATATAAATTATTTAATTTTCTAAATAAAAGTTTAGAACTCTTATAGTGCTGTTAAAACTATTTGTTAGTTATCAGTACATAGATATAATTGTTGATATTTATTTATTATCTGTAGTTATTATGCATTCATTTAGAAACTGGAAATTAAGAATGTTCATTATAAGCTTTTCTAACTACTTATTAATTAATGCAGAGTTATTGGATTTTTACTAAAGTATATTTGTAGTTATTTTCATTATAATTTATTTTTCTTTTGTAATAAGTAGCTAGAATTGGTTTATTTAAAGAGGGTCAACCCTTCATTCTCTTTCACAAAATCATTCTGAATATTTTTATGATTAACATGTGAACTTCATAAACTTCAAAATTAATCTATATTATATATATTGCTACATTAAATTTATGCATTTATTAAAATTATATTTCAGATGTTTAGCTCAAACTCCGGCATCAAGAGAGAAATTTAATATCAATTTATCTCCATTTATTAGTACTGAAGAAGACTCAGAATCCGATTCAGACTCAGATGATGAAGATGAGGTTAAAAAGAAACTACGTCTTTAGTAAAAATTAGTATTTAGTGATTTGTTATAAATTATTAATTATATTAGTTAGTTATTAGTTAATATTAATTTTTAATAAACTCATACAATAACCATTGTTTAATATTTTGTAATACACCTTGATCATCAAAAAAACTTAAAAATAAATGCCTATTACTTTGCAATCACGTTATATAAAATTTATCTTTCTCATAACTACTATCATATATTTTATATATTAATATTATTACTATAGTGATTTCTTTAAATGTTTTTTTGAATCGCCTAAAATAACTAAAATTTGTATTCTTTGTTTTAACAAATGATTTTCTTAAAATTTAAACCTACAATATCTATAAAAATATACTCATACATTTTTAAATTTTGGGTTTAATAAGATTCTTATGAGGAACTTTATATTATTATTATTATTATTGTTAAATTATCAATTTTTAAATTTTTCACTGCAAAATACCTTACACATTTTTTACGATTATAACTGAAATATTTATTTTATGTGTATACTTAAAGCCTTTAAAATTTTAAGTTCAATAACTCATAAAAAATTACTGGATTTACTTTCAATTTTTCTAATTTTAGTATTAAAAATGTATAAGAAACCTTGTACCTATTCAATTTTTATCAACGTTTATAGAAAAATAAGAAAATTTAAAATGTCTATTAATAGCTTACATTAGGTTAAAATATTTTTTAAATTTTATTGATTTTAAAAAGTATTGATATAATCACATTAAATGAAAATTTTAAGTATTCACAGTAATTCGTTTTTGAATTATAACAAAATAAAAGAATCTACTTTACAGAACATTGTTGATGGATATAAACTTTTTATTTCTTTATAATTCTTTTTTTGTTTTTCTCAAATCAAATATTGGGAATATTTGATCCATAAACACTCAAAACATCATTTAAATTCACTTCCCAACCAGAAATAATAAATTGATTTTGAAGATTAAAGCATTTTTATTGCTCTAAAAAAGTAGAGACATATAAAAAAAAACATATTACACCAAAATTAATACATTCATTACTGCTATCAGAATCTATTCTCTTTTCAACTTTAGAAAGAGAAACATATTCGCGGCTGACTATTATATACAAATGCTTGGCTCACTGTATACTATCATAGATTACATATACTATTAAGTATATTTAATCTATGATACTATACAGTAAGTCTACTGATAGTAAATTCGAGTAACAAACAGGTGTAGCTTAATCTATGGTGGCGAAGGCTCCCCCCCCCCAAAAAAAAAAAAAAATAAAATAAAAATATATATTATTAGACCAAGCTTTTTTTATTTTTTTCATGATATATAAGTGTGAATATGCCAGAATGCCTAGTCAGTTAGATTATTGATATAAATCTATACTAAATCTATACTATAAATTAAAATTAATGTCTAATAAAATCTTACATAACAGTAAAATACACAAATTTGATTTTTATCCACCTACCAAATGGCATGACACATTTCTACAAACTAACAAAACAACCATGAACCACCTACTAACATAATATTATACATTTTAATTAAGTATTGTCTGTTTCCTTTTCTTTAAATCACGAAGGTGTAAGCCAGAGGTTCCCAACTTTTTTTGACTCACGGCACCCTTAATCATTTTCTAAAAATCCGGAGGCACT